TTCTGATGCTCCAGGAACTTCCATTAACAATCACAGGGGTTATGTCCCTGGGTTTTCCTTCTGGAAAATATGATTACAGACCCAAGAAATAAAGGGAGACCAGAGGGCTTCCTTAGAGTGACACGATGCTGCACTTTGCCCTCCCAGGGGACACAGAGGAAGGGAAGCCTCCGACTGAGACAAGGCAATGCCTCAGGAAGGAGAAGGTCAGGGGAGCAGAATCCAGCACAGCTATCCAAGGTGGGGACTCCTGACTGTCCTCTGCAGTGGTCCAGAGGCACCCCCAGAGCGAACAGAAAGTGCACCACAACTGGCTCTGAGCACAAAGGGTCCCGCCTTCCTCATGCTGGAGGCCGAGCCCCCCCAGTCCTGTCCCTCTCCTGCCTTTCTTCCCTCCCTTGGAGCTCTTCACCACTGTCACGGCTTTGAATTCTATCTATATGCTGACGACTCCATGCCCCAACCTCAGAGCGTGAGTCCAACTGTCTACCTGCCATCCCCACTGGGAAGAGAAATAGGTGCGTCCCAGCTGAGCTCCTCATGCAACCTGCCCCGCCTTCTGTCTTTCCCCGTTCATACCAGCTCCACTCTCCCCCTGCTTAGGCCCAAACCTCACAGCCATCCTGGACGCCTCTTTCTCCCACTCCCACATCCAGTCTGTCGGGACACACTGCTCATTCTATTTTCACATCAGACTGAGAATCTGACCATTTTCACCACTGCTGTTACTGCTGCTTTGCTGCAGGCCAGCATCCTCTCCCACCTGGGTTACCACCTTCACCTTCACCTGGTGTTGTGTGTCCACCCTGACTCCTACAGACAGCAAAGCCGGCCTCTGGAAAAGTCAGTCAGATCAGGGGACCGTTCTTCTCAGAGGCATCAGTGTCTCCCCTTCTTCCTCATCATGAAAGCCAAACCGGTCCCCTCTCTGATCCCTTCCTCTCCTTCTCCCCGGCTCATTCTGCGCCAGTCACAGCAGCTGCTTCTCCGGCCCCAGAAGCTCCCTTCCCAGGCATCTGCATGGGTAACTCCTCACTTCAGTCTTATTTGAAATAGCACTTTCCTGAGCACCTCTGATCCCCTTCCTCGACACTATTCCTTTTCCAAAGCACTTACCAGCTTTAGACAGACTATGATTTCCTTATTTTCTGTACTCATTGAATTGCTCACTGGCTGTTTATCCCATCCCTCGAATGCTAGCTCATGGGGATGAGGCTTTTGTTTTGTGAACTGATGTATTCCAGGTGTCTAAAATGGTATGTGACACACCGAAGGTGAGACGATAAATATGGTAGAATGAATGAATGCTGGCTCCAGGGATCGTGGGGAAACCCTTTTCCCAGAGGGAGAGGTGCTGTAGCTTGGTAACAGCAAGGAGGAAAGAGAAGGCATTTATGGGGAGATGAGCTTAAATGTGAGGGCTATTTGGAGGGTGGTTAGGATGAATATGGCAGTTAGGTGAGGGAAATGACAGTTGATTTCTGTAAGTTTAAGTCAAAGATGATGAGCTACAGGTGAAAAGCCTTATGGATTCCTCTGAGGCTGAGTGTAGATTCCTGCCAAATAGAACATATGTCTAGGAATGAGTATTTTGTGATGATGGTAAGACTAGAAAATTCTGGGAAGGCCTGGAGCAGCCCCCAGGGGAAACCTCCTGGAGCTGTAAACTTCCTTGTGCCAGGGAGTGTCCAGACCCATGAGCTGCCAGTGGCCTGAGGCAGAACCATCTGGGCAGAGGGACCTGTCTCTGAGACTAAGCACTGTTGCTCGTATATTCTGTCATCCACGATACTGATTGCTCTCTGAGTGCAGGGTTACGCCAGGACTGTGCTTGTGGAACAGCCCTGTTGAGGATTGGGTTGTGGGCAGTGAGCTGCGCTTGCTTTGATCTGGCCACACGTGTACCCATCTCCAAGAGTCTGATCATATCTGGGAAACAAGGGCTCTCTAACAGTGTCTGTGGGTAATAAGTTATAATTAAATATAATTGGCTAGAGGCTAGGCCCTCCTAGCTATTCCAGCAGAGATTTGGGAAAAAATGTCATCTGCCTGGGTGCAACAGTCTCTTTCATTCCATAGCCCTTTACAGTTTACACAGAGTTTTAAAATAGATGCTCTTATTTGAGCTTCAGGACACAGTGCTGTAAATACCATTCTACACCTTTGACAGAGGAGGAAACTAAGTCTTCTTTTCCAGGAGGAAGCAGCAGCGAGGCTCAGCCACTTGCCAGCTCTGCCATCACGTCCAGTCCTCCCTCTCTCACACCGCCTTTCTGCCTGGGGAATGTGACATTTGTTCTTCTGGTTCACAAGCCATTCATTGTGTGGGAGGGAAATAAGTGTTGGGTCTCCAGACACCTCCTCTTGCCCTCCATCACACATGTTGTCCCATTTAATCTCCAGACAACCCTTCAGTGTGACTTTTCACCTCAATTGAGAGGACTGAAGGCATTTCAACATGGGGTAAGGGAGGCTGGTTAAGGGTGCATCACAACTCCAAGGGGGGCTGATAAATCATTTTTTGTTTAGAATATAAAAAAAGTATGGTTATTTTAAATATAAATTACAGAATGTAAGGGCTGAACAAATCCTGGCTGGTGGAAATAAAGAAGAGGGACATGTGAGATGCATGTGTTTATCACAGGGTACATGGATTGGGGAGAGGGGAACTCTGGCCCAGGCCCAGGGGTAAGTGTGCACGTGGGGAGGCCTGGACTCCAGCTGTGCGGCACAGAGAGGCATTAGTCTCTCCCCCAGCTTCTTTAGCGTCAGCAACTTGGGGATGATAACTCTTGCCTGGCAAACTCACAAGGTAGTTCAGTTACATAGTTACATGAAGCAAATGCAAGGGTGACTCATCAACAGAAAGCGACGTGCAAATGGAAGGGTCTTCATGGTGGTGTCATGCTCCTTTCCTGTCCCGCACCCTCCCTCTCTACCCCCAACATGGCTACTTCTTCTGTAGAAATGTTATACCCTAAAAAGTTTCTTTTGCTTTGTCTTTGTCTTTCTTTTAAAACCACCAACAGTTTAGGGGGAAATGGCAGGTAGAGAACCCCAACAGGGAGAACCCCAGAGGACCCCGGGTGCCAATGGGTCGTCTCTGCACCAGAGGAGCAGCTGGCTGCCACCTGCCTGCCTTTTCCTGCTGTTTCTCAGGCTCCAAGTCCCTGGCACAGGTTTCACAAGGACCTACACTGCTGTCTGAAAAACTACATCCTCAGAAGGCAGGGTCTGCAGCTGCTCTCTCTTCCCTGTTCCTCTCCTTGAGTTTGCCCCTCAGTCCAGGGCACCGCACAGCACCAGCTCCAAGTGCAAACGCTCTGGCCTTGACACTCACACATACAGCTCATGGCCCTGAACCGCACCTGAGATACAACTAGGGCTGGCCAGCCTGCAAAACTGGGAGTGTGCTCAGGAATGGTGGGGCAGGGTGTGAGGGGAAGAGGCACAGAGCATGTGTAGGAAGACTGACTTTTTAAAAATAATATGCCATTATTATTTGTCAAGGGCAAGAGTACACACACACACACACACACACACACACACCACCGCCGCCACCACCACCACCACCACCGCCATGAGACAAAGACAACTTGGGGGTTCTGGGAGACAGACGGGCAACCGAATCTGGAGCTCCGGGTTGAGCAGGGAGGGTGCAAAGGCTGAGGGAGGGCATGGGAAGCGTGACAGCCTCCTTCAATGTCCACCTGCTGGGACGGGGCCAGACAGGGGCTTTTAATCAGGGGAATCAGGCAGATAGAATAACTTGTCAGTTCAACTGATGGGGAACAAAATATGGAGTGGAGAGGGGATGGTGGGACACAGTGGGGAGATGGTGGCGGTTGGAAGGGTGGTTTCAAACATCTCTGATCAAAACTGTACAGCGTCTGCTCCGTGCTGTTACTCAGGGGTCAGTGCATCAAAGGTTTGTGCAAACATTACCAAGTCTCTTAATTAAGGAAAAATTATGACAAAAAATTAACACATGTTAAAGACTAACTGCAGAGGGCTTGCCTATAGATAAAGAGAGAAGGTTTAAACATGCCAGGTAACAAAAAGACGTGTGCAGGAACTGGTAGGAACTGTATAGGAGGAGGCAACTCTTGTGGGGAGGCGGCAGGAGGCCTCGGAGCACAGGGCCTGGGGTTCTGTCTGAGGCCAGGGAGCCAGGGCAGGGTGTGGGGGGATGGGAGTGGGAGAGCCAGGTGGGTGCAAGAGTCAGTTCTCTGGGCTGGTTCATGTGGGAGGGAGGTGCCACTGGCCCTGCAAGAGTGAGCAAAGACCTCAGAAGAGCTCTCTCTCGGCGGGTCACCCAGCCACCTGGCTCTTTGGCCACTCCAGAGAAGAGGGGTGCAAGCAGGGCTCTGAACATGACTGGCTCTCTTCTTCTCTCCCAAACGGGCCTGGAGGGGCTGGGTCGCCTCTATGGGCTGCTGATGGTAAATCGGACAGAGCCCTTTCAGTGTGAGCGGGATGGGCTGCTCCTTGGGCTGACAAAACAGGCAAAGACCGAGCCTTAACTCCAGTGTCCCGCTTGGAGAGAGCTCCTTTCCAAGATGCTGTGGGTGGAAAGGCAAGAGGGGGAGAGGCAGAGGTCTAGGGGTGAGGTGCAGTGAAAAGAGGTTTGGGTCCCCGCCCCAGCAGCTGCCCAGAAGTTGCAGATGTCCCTTGGTTTTCTCACTCCGTGCTCCCCAAAGCTGCATCCTCCTATACAGTGTGAGTCATGCCGGGCTGGTAGTAAAGGGAGAGAGAAAGATGCAGCAGTCAAAACTTAAAGGAAAGGGAGGCCTAACTCGTTCCAGGGTTAAAAAAAGAAAACTTCCAAAATAAAGCAACAAGAAAAAAATCATTTAAATCAATTTAAACAAACAAATAAAAACAAGTAAATGAAAATAAGGAGGCGGGGAGGAGAGAGAATGAAGGAAAACAATAAACCGGGGCGAGACGATGAGTGTTAGAGCAGGCACGGACATCAGGTCCAGACGCCATGTACTTACGTTTACCTCGGTGATTGCTATATCAACAATGCTACCCACAACAATCAAGGCGTCAAACGTATTCCATGCATCACAGAAATAGTGCTGCATGGGGCAGAGAAGCCGAGGAAAGGGGAGAGAGGAGAGAAAAAAAAAACAAACCAACAACAAAGGAGAAAAACAAAACAAAAAGGAAGAGGGAAATGAAAAAAACAAACAAAAAAGCATGAAAGAAAGGAGAGAAGAGAAAAAAATGAGAAAAGAAAGAGGTTACGTGGGCATATTCAAGACTCTCTTACCACTCTACAGTCCCGGTGGCTCAAACCTGGGTACCCTGGTCTCGCAGGGTGGAGAGGCCTGGCAAAAGCTGGGTTAGTTCAAAGGTTCCGCTGGGCTCCGGCCGCCTGGGAGGGGAGCCGGCGGCCACCCACCGCCTGCTCCCTCCACTCGGCCCCCAGCTCCTGGGCCCCGGCTCAGAGGGCCCAGCTGGGACTAGTGGAAAAAAAGGAGGAGAGGCTCCCACTTTTTTTCCCCTCACAGGACGACGGCAGGTTCAATAAAAAGCATGACTGGAGCGGGGTAAAAACAGGAAATTAAAATAAATAAATAAAAGGAGGTAGAGAGAGAGAAGAGAGTGAGGGGGAAACAGAGGCGGCAGAGGAAGAGGAAGGAGGAGGTTTCCTGGGGAGGGCAGAGTCATACTCACATTAGTTTCACTGAGAATGACGTCAATTATGCTGCCAATTACGATGAGGAAGTCAAAAACATTCCAGGGATCACTAAAGTAACCCTACATAAGGGAGGGGCAGGCAGGATGGGGATTAAAAAGGAATATTAGACAGACAAGAACAGAGCAACAATCACCATCAGAATCACCGTCTGGGCACCTCAGTGTTGCTGCTGGAGTTGCAAACACCCTCTCCGTGAGCCCAGGGGAGCAGGAGGTGGCCAGGAGGCAACTAATCCAATCCTCCTGCCTGCCTGCCTGCCATGGCCTCACGGCTCCCCTTCCTCCAGATCCATCCCTCTTCACCACCCTCCTGCACAGGAGCCCTTCCTACTGCCCAGCAGGGCGGGGGTGGGCGTGGGGTATGGGAAGTATAAGCTGCAATGGGCAGGGACATGGCTGGGCCCTTTTCGGTCCACATTCAGCATCTCCTATGTCCCCAGTTCTCTTCCTCAGAAGGGCCTGTCTAGAGGGAGGGAGGGAGCACAGCTGGATGATCCCTTGGAGGAGAATGGGCTGTGGTCCTGTGGATGATCTGGGAACTAAAAAGAAGCAACCAGTGTGGCCCAGAAGGGTGGCCAGGTCATCTGGGCTCAGAGGTGACTCACATAAAGCTCAGCAGTGACAAGGGGACCACATCACTACAACAATGTCTATAAAAAGCTGGACTTTATGCAGATAGAATGAGCTCTAGACTGAGCCCAGTATTTTCAGGGGCAGCTCTGTCCGGGCAAAGGCTTTCCCGACTGAAAGGAGACAGAGTCTGGGTGGATCCCATAGTTTGGTATTGCAGGATATGGCCCTAGACAATGCTCCTAGGGGTGTCCCAAGCAACACCTGCCCCAGGCTCTTTTCTCAGCATTGTCATTCTGATACAGGGTCCCACTGAAATGCAAATGCCACCAAAGTGAATGAAGCTACCAAAGCCTCTCTTGAGAACTGGACCTGACAGGGGCAGTCTGGTAGAAGGGATGGAAGGGACAGGCTTCTTAGGAAGGGGTGCCATGGAGGAGAGACTCAGGCACAGAAGGGAAAGGACAGCATCCTTATCCTGTACAAATGGATTGGTTTTTTTTGCTTTCCCCCATATTTAGAAAAGGGAAGAGATGACTGTTCTTGAAAGGCTTTTTTGAGGTACTTGGACAACCAATGGATAGGCTGTCCCAGGTTCCCAGAGGATCCCAGGAGTCCTGGGTGGGTCATGAGCCTGTCTGCGAGATGTGGGATTTAGAGAGCAGTGCTGTGACCACATGGGATATCTGCTCACAGTTTAGGAAGCCCTAGGAACAGGACAGCCACATTTCTCATGGGTGGAGTGGAAAGGATCTAGTGCTAAAGACATTTGTCTTCTTTAAAAACGGACATTTGCTTCTTCAGTTTTTAAGGAAATGTCTGCAAGGGGACAAATTAGAACAGGAGCACATTTGCTCCGCAGGACCAGAATCTTCCTATTCTCCGAGCCACCAGTTGGGGCTTCTAGGAGACGGAACTGTAGAGATCGGTGAGTGGGTATGAGAGCACTAGAGTTCCTCTGAGAGTTTCCCAGGTCTCTCCCCAGCTCTCTAGAAGGCTGCCAACTCTCCCTTTTTATTTTTTACTCACAAGAGCCAAGAGTCTGTGTTCTTCCATTTCCTCCTGGCTCTATCCAGCTCCCTTAACTTCCCCACTTCCCAGCCATGCCCTCTTTCCAGAGGGATCACAAGACACGCTGTCCTAGGGCTGTTATTCTTAGTGTGGGAGGTCAGGTCACAGGGAAAGGGGCCTCTCGGTTCCCAGGCATTTCTGCCAAAAGAAAACAGAAGTGCCAGTGCAGAGACTTTGCACAGCCAGATTGGGGAAGCAGAGGTTGGCCAGGGCATGGGTCAGGTGAGGGTCAGCCCGAATACATGGTTTTCTTGTTGGCTTCCCAGAATATTTTTCTGAACATACTAGATCCTTTGAGGCATAGAGGAACCTCTCTCCTGTTTAAATCAGATGTTATGAGCAGGCAACAACCAATTGCCTCCCAGGTTCTCAGATATTCTCAGGGCAAAAGGAGAGGGCTGATTTTGAAGGGAAGAAGGTAAAGAGTGAAGGCCCCAAATGAACTATAAATATGCACATGTTTTAAAATTAGACTTTGGAAAACATTGGGGCAATATATCTAGATAGGGACACCATCTTTGTGGTAGAGCTAATTCAGAAGGGAAGGGGATGGGTGTTGAGGAAGAGAAAGGAGAGAAACAGGAACGAGAGCAGAGTCCAGGATGTTCAGCATCTAGCCTAGAAAATGTGGTAACAAAACATGATTTGGGTGTGGGGGCAGGAGGAGAGGTAGGAAGGTGGAAGGCTCAGGGCTCAAGAAAGGAGAGTGAGTTGGAGTCTTTCATCCACCAGAGACCTGAAACAAAATGGGTAAGTTGGGCTCGGTCTGCAGCACCCCTGAGAGGAGAAAGGGAAAGGAAGAGAGCAGAGAACAGGCACAGGCGAGGTTAACACACACAGATTAATCAGCTGGGCGCACCGGGGCAGGGGCCGAGACCTCAAGGGACCCTGTCAGCCTCCTGGTTGTGTGTCACTTGTTACCCCTTCTCCGAGTTTCTGTGTGCACATGCAGATGGAAGGAAACACAACACAGTCAACAACTCCTTGACTGAGGCCCACTTCCATCCCTCATGGCCACCTGCCATTGGGTTGGCTGGGCTCTATGGAGATTAATGCCCCATGCCGCGCCCTTGCCCTCAACAGGCTGTCCTTCTGGAGGCTTTTGGTTGACTTCTCTGGTCTGTGGCAAGCTACTTGGTGGGCCCAGTGCCTGGCTGCAGAAACTAGCCAGTGCCCTTGTTGCCAAGGGTTCCTGGGGACCTCGCCCTGAGGAGATTTGCATGTTGCCAGAATGTAGGGGAGAGGAAGCATGTTTGTGGGGGTTGGTGACAGGATCCCTTTAAGAGGCAGCTTTTAACCCTGCCCCACCCACCCGCCTTTCCGCCCCTCTGTCCCACGGCCCATCAACCTTCCCAACTCGACCATGAAGACAGTTTCAGATCCAGCTTTCAGGTCAGCCTCCTCTTCCCACTCTTTCAGTGGCCCCTTCCTCCCACCCATTCCACCCCCCACTCCTAGAAACATAGCCCATAGCCCCATTAGGTCAACAGGATGTCCAAAGGAGACACCTGGCCAAACCCCTAAGCAGGCAGGCCTGGGAGAATTCTTCTTCCCTGAACTCTCGGAGTGTAAGAGCTTAGTGTCCTCTTATCCTCTCTTTCCCATTCTCCATCCCCCCACCCCCCAACACACGTCTGTTTTTGCCCACCTCTTTATTTGCTGGAAACAACTGGTAATGTGGGTTTCGGGGGTATAATAGAAGAAGTGGGATGGAAAAAAATCATAGGTGTTGTTTTTTTCTCTTATACCTGTCACTCCTTCTGTCCTTGGTGATAGGTCTCAAATGGTAGGGAAGATGTCAGGGTTAGGGAAAGGGTTTTTCTGGCTCTCTCTGGAGTGGTAAACCAAACCTCTTCACGTCCAACTCCTCGGAGCCACGCAGGCCTGATCGTCCAGAAGGGATGGTGCTTTCAGGGCTGGAAGCCTTTCCCTCGCAATCCCTAAACCCCAGAGTCAAGAAGATGGGCCTCTCCCCTGGCCATCCTCAGGAGGGTCTTGTGCTCTCCTACCCCAGGCTGAGCAGCACCCTTGCAGTATGCTTATACCCCAGGAATAACCCACTCTCCCGGGTGCCACTGGCCCTCCACTCACAGGCTGATGTGGGCTGAGATACTGCAGACCTAATTGACACCAGCTTCAGCAAATCATGATTAAGAAGGAAAAATGGTTGCAGAAGTGCCAGGTGATGCATTTCACATGCACAGGAATTTTGGATTTTCCTCTCTTTTGGATTATCTGTGTCCCGACGCACCTCCATCATGGGAGCTATTCCAAGTTGAAAGAGGCACCATGGTGGTTAAGAGCATGATCTCTGGGGGTAGGGTGCCTGGGTTCAAATCCCAGCTCTGGCACTTATTAGCTGGGTAACCTTGAGCAAATAACATAACCTCTCCACGCCTCAGTTTCCCCACCTATAAAGTGGGATAACCATGGGTTATGGTGAGGATTAGATGAGAATATCTGTAATGCACTGAGATATCTGTGCCTGGTTGAAGTAGCTCCAAACAAGCTCTAGCTACTGTCATGATTTTCCAGAGGTGCTCTGTTAAGTAGGATTCACAGGTTTAATTTTGAGGTGGGACTGAACAGAGGGGAAGGCAGAGCCTGGGTGTCTGTGGAAGGAGGAGGGAAGAGGCCGAAGTTTCCGGAATCCTGAGCTCACCTTGAGTTACTGCTGAGCAGTGGGACTGTCCTGAGACTCTAAAATCTGGCTATTATTTTGAGATGAGTGACAGTATGCAAGTTGTTGTGGGTAACTATTTGAGGCTCACGTTCATCTAGATAGTTGACTGCCATGTTCTTAGAAACACTATTCCTACCTGGAAAGACCCAACTTCCACTCCTCTGCCTGGAGGGCTGTGAAGAGAGGAGGGAGCTGCCAAGTGGGCACTTCCCAGTGCTGATCCCGGGGAGCAGGGCTGCTGTGGGAGAGGTGGTAGGCACATGCCTTCGCCCTTGAATTCTGGATTCTTAGCTTCTTCCCTGCCCAAGGCAGAGTTCGCCACTGTGATCTTCTCAGAGGCAACACAAGCTTTAGAATGAGTGGGTGTTCAGAAGGGATCCATAAAAAAATCTGCCCACCTGGGGCTGTGTTGTGCATTCTTAGCAATTTTGAGGTGAAAGTTATTTCGCTGCCATTAGTCGTTTCTTTCTCTTCTCTATTCCTTCCTGCCTATGGTTCATGTCTACCTCCAATGGGTCCAGCGGAGAGAAGGTGAAGTGAAGGAGCACAGAGGTGATCTGACCCCTGATAGGGAATCGGTCTCTGGACTTCTAGTCTGTCTGGGGGGTCTCTCCTCAAAGACTGTTCCCTTCCAGGGACACGTGGGGTCTCAGAGTGCCGAAGTGGGAGACCTGAGATGAAATTAGAAGTGGAGCTGCTGGAACTGAGACAGAGAGCAGGAATGGGGAAAACTGAT